CCCGGGGCGCCCGGGCTCCCGCACCATGGCCCCCATGGGCATCCGCCTGTCCCCGCTGGGGGTGGCGGTGTTCTGCCTGCTGGGGCTCGGCGTGCTCTACCATCTCTACTCGGGCTTCCTGGCCGGCCGCTTCAGTCTCTTCGGCCTGGGCACCGAGCTGGGCGCGGCGGGGCCCGCAGCCGCGGCCGACGCGGGCGCCGTGGTGGATTTGCGCGAGATGCTGGCGGTGTCGGTGCTGGCGGCGGTGCGTGGCGGCGACGAGGTGCGGCGCGTCCGCGAGAGCAATGTCCTCCACGAGAAGTCCAAGGGGAAGACGCGCGAGGGAGCCGACGACAAGATGACCAGCGGCGACGTTCTGTCCAACCGCAAGATGTTCTACCTGCTCAAGACCGCCTTCCCCAGCGTGCAGGTGGGCGCGGGCGGGGAGGGCGCGGGCCTCGCTGCCCGGGGGGTGGGGGGGGCGGTGGGACCCTGGGATCGGACTCCTCGTTGCGCCCATTTAGCAGATGGAGAAACTGAGGTGAGGAAGTTTAAAGTGCGGAGTCATGGAGATTACTTAACTAGAAGATCTGTGTGCCAGGCTCTTTTGGAGAATCAACCTGGTTGTGCATCAGCTGTGAGTACCCAGGACTGTGAGTTCTGGCCTTTGGGTGGGATGGGATGCCCAGACGCTGAAGAAATGAATTGACCCAGGTTGTTGGGTAAATGAAGGTGGTGGACTAGAACCCCCGCAGGCCTGGGCTCTGCCTTGATTTCATTAGGAAGGGGGTAAAGAATTGTTATAAATCTTATTGCAGAGATGGTGGTGTCAGAGCATTTGGGGGACCGGGTCTTCTTAATTAATACCTCCTTAACGGCATGTAGTTCGGGCCCTAAAAGGAAACATCTGGAAATATGCTTCCCAGCAAATTCATTTCAGCCATGAATCCCTGCTTTGCACTTGATTTACATTCTCTATTTACATCAGAGAATGAAATTTAAACGACATTTACCTTTTCTTTGGTTTCTGGAGCAGTTGATGTTTTTCTTAAGGAAATCCAGACATTTTGAATCTGTTATTAAATATTTCTGGAATTCATCGATGGAGCTATCCTTCAGTGGAATGTACTTTAAAGTTTTTTCTTTTGAAAGTGTTGTGGTTCCAGAGGAAGAGTTTAATGTAATGTAGGTTGTGCATAGTGTTACCTACTAGTAGGTTTAGCTACTAGAAAGAAAAAGTGTTTCCAATGGAATTTTGTTAATTAAATAAACAGTGATAAGTAAACCCAATCTTCTGTGGAACATACCTGACTTTTTATTGTTCTAGGAAGATTAGGAGACTATTGTCTTTGTAGCATTTGTCTTATGTAACCCTTGTCATAGGCTTGCACTCTGCCTTTCTTTCTTTTCTCCTTTGCCCATCTCACACTTCCTTTCTTTCATTTTTCCCACATGAAACAGTACCTACCAGATGTGATTGGCATTAACATAATTTTTTTCAAATGTCTTTTCAAATAAAACCCTTGTGTATAACTGCTTTCTCTTCTTCTTTACTCTGCTTTACCATCACAAATAATACTTATCTTTGTTTGCATCTAACAGTATATTCTAGGTGGCTGGATATTGTCTACATTTGATCATTCCAGCAACTTTAATTTCATTTATGCTCCCACTTTCCAAATGGGATATGTCTGAGTATAGTTGATCATGCCTGTAATGGCAGCTGTGGAGGAGGATAAGAAGATCTTGGTCCAAGAACAGCCTTGGCAAGACCCTAACTGAAAAGTTACTAAAGCAAAAAGTAGACTAGCGGTGTGGCTAAGCCCCTGCTTAGTGTACTTGAGGCCTTGAGTTCAAATCCCAGAACTATCAAAAAAAAGCACACTGTCAAATGGGAAATTTTGACGAACATAACAATAGTCTACAGCATACGTTAGCTTTGTAGCTTTTCATTTTAGCTTGACTATTTGAAGACTACTTAAAAGTTATACTATAACTTCCTGGGAGTGAGATGGGGGGATATAGAGCTATAGAAGCTTAAAGGTACAAATAGTGCACCTTAGCAAGCAAAGTATGTGTCTCTATGTATGTATGCATGTACTAGGAGCTTGAACTCAATGGCCAACAAGAAAATAGCTGCCAAAGATAGTGTGTAGCATTTTATTAACCATAAAAGCTGAGTTTTGGGTTTGCAGATTTAAAATCTAGGAAATGACTTTTTGTTTGAATGTTTATATGTGCATCTTTAGTGTTCAGGTTGGGTTTGATTAGTGGCAGAGAGGAAATTGTGTTTGATTTTAGTGTCAGAGTAGGGATGGTGTCATATTGGCCTATCTCCTTTTACCCTAGTTTTTTTTTTGTTTTGTTTTTTTTTTGGGTCCGGTCGTGGGGCCTGAACTCTGAGCCTGGGCACTGTCCCTCAGCTCTTCAGCTGAAAGCTAGCGCTCTACCACTTGAGCCACAGTGCCACTTCCGGCTTTTTTGTTTTTGCTTATGTGGTGCTGAGGAATCGAACTCAGGGCCTCAGACATGCAAGGCAAGCACCTTAACCACTGAGCCACCTTCCCAGCCCCTTTTACCCTAGTTTTATGAGACTAGAGTAGAGGTCAGATGTTGCAGACCTCTAAGTAGAGACTCAGATTTTTTTTCTTTTTTTTCCTCCTCTCCCCTAATGACCAGATGCTTAGTTGTTTTTGGAGCCTCCCCCCAAAGACTTTGTTAACTAACTTAACCATATTCCACTTAGTTTATTTCCTAATGGAAAATGACCATTGAGAAACCACAAGTACTCTTGCAAAAGAAAAAAAAGCCCATGTCCTGTACAAATGAGAGAGATTTATTTTCTTTCTCTCATTACTTTGATGTCTGAAAGTCTGAGCTTCACCAGTTAATATTCTTTCATCAGTAAAAGTTATACCAGGAGTCATTCTAGAATACTTGGAGACAGTTTTGTTCCCCCAAGAAGTATTTATTTGGCAATGTCTACAGAAATCTTTGGCTGTCACAGCCAGGGATGGAATCTTAACTAGCAACCAATGGGTAGAGAGGAAACAACCCAGAATACATAAGACAACCTTTATAACAGAATTAATATGACCCAATTTGTCAGTTGGTGACCAGATTGACTTCAAGAGAAGTATATACTATCCCAACAAAAGTCAAATTTGACCTTGGATTGTTCATTCTTTCTCAAGTCATAGGTCTTGAGTGTACCTTCAGAGAATCTGGTCTTACTCCTAAGCAATTGAGGATGCCTGATGGCTCAGTATCAAAGTAGTAGTAACGGTAGCCATTTTTATGACATGGTCCCTGATTATTCCTTGTGGATAATGATAAAACTGAAGGATGAATATAGTTTTGTGGGATGGGTTTGTAGTAACAGGAAAAATTTAAGATTATTACTTCTATTTGATGTGTACGGGACTCCATCTATGAGGATTCTGCCCTCACCTTGTTTATTTGACAATAACTTATTTGAAGATTAAGCATAGTATTACTAATCGGTAGCAGAAAGTTGGGGCAGTACCTTTCTTGGTTTGAGGGATGGGAGTTTAACTCATTTCTTTCAACTGAAGTGATGGCTGGAACAGTTAAGAAGCACTAATACAGTGCAGAGAATACCTTTGTTTACCTCCTGTCTAGTCACCAGCCTAGGTTCTGGCTATTTCTTCCTTTTCTGCAAAATCAAGATAACTCTTAGTAGGTACAGACATAAGCACTATAGACAAAAAAAAAACAAAACAAAATCCACCTAGTTCAAAGGAGCACTCCCAACAGATTCAACACACAACAAATTCAAGTATTGCAATGAATTCATCTATTGGTTTGATACGCTTTGGGAAGAATCACAGTGGAAATGATTAGGAAGAAGGAGTTTGAATGTGATCTTTAATACTGGTATACCAAAAAGAAGCAAGACTTAAGCTAATTTTTCTTGAGGCCTGTAATATGCCATACTCTATTCTTTGGGTATTTGGACATGATTAAGACCAATTAGGAGATTGTGAGAATAGTCCATGTGAGAGAAGATCAAACTCAAGGCAAGCTTTTAGCAAGTAACTAACCTTTTTTTGTTGTTGTTGGTTGTGGAGCTTGAACTCTGGGCTTGGGTGCTACCCCTGTGCTCTTCAGCTCAAGGCGAGCGCTCTACCGCTTAAGCCACAGCACCTCTTCTGGTTTTCTAGTGGTTTATTGGAGATAAGAGTCCCAGACTCTTCTGCCCGTGCAGGCTTTGAACCGTGATCCTCAGATCTCAGCCTCCTGAGTAGCTAGGATTACAGGCGAGAGCCCCCAGCGCCCGGCTCTGTAACTAAACTTTTTAATGTCATTATTAATTGATCTGTAGAACAATATAGGTTAAGAAATGTAACCTTTGTTTTGCCAATAAAGGAATTGACAGTTGGAGGGGCTAACTAATATGCAATGATTATACACTAGAAAACCACCATAGGCTCACTGTGATTCATTGAGAATCATCTCGCACACACCTGTCTTAATTCTGAGTACAAGCAGTATAACAGGAATGACAAAAGTGTACTTATAACTTTAAAAGTGTTGAAGAAATGGAAGTACTAAGAGTACATACTTGGGGATAGTTTAGAGTGAGAAAAGTGAATACAGAGACACTGGTTAAAGAAATTACTTCAGTGAGAGACAGTGTTCTTCAAAGTAGAATTGTATTTGTAGGAAAGATATGGTAAAGAGAAAAATAATTGCATTAGAAAGGGGTCTTTTAAAAAATAGATAAGCACTTTTGGCTGGAGGTGTAGCCCAGTGATAGTGTTTGCTTATAATGTGTGAAGCCCATCCCCAGCACCCCCACACCACCTCCGAAAAAAAAAAAAAACTAAATAAAAATAAAAAGGGAGGTGTGTGGTAATGATAGGATGGAGGGTTAGATTATGAGGGTCATTTTTGACTTGTGTTAGATATGTCTTTGGTGTGTCCAAGGGGAGATGTTAAGGAGGTAGTTGAATATATATGAGTAAGGCTGTCAAGAGACTTCTAAATTGTAGGTACAATTTAGTAGTCATCTGTGTTGCCATGTTAATGGAAACTAGTTTGGACAGGATTGTGTAGGGAGAGCATATAAAGGATAGGGGAAAATCAATGCCGGGGACCAAGGAAGGATAATGAAGACTAAAAGCATCATTTACCAAGAATAATAGCATCCAGTGTTTATTCAATGCTCACTTAGTGTTAAGGACTATACTCAGTTTTACTCTCATACCTACTTTGAACATAGGAAATCTATAATTAATCTCTTCATCATAGTTCTGTACGTATATCATTGGCCATCTTTGTGAAAGCTTTCTTGGTAGCATGATGTGGTTGAAAATGGGGAAAGGTAAGGAATGGAAACATTATGTAAAGGTAAGTCCTTTAAGAAATTTGACTTCTAAGGAAGTTGGCAATGGTGTTAAATTAAGA